TTTTTTTTTTTTTTTTTTAAAACGAGAACAGGGCCTTATGGTCCTGGTTCCTTTCCATTCTGGGGAGCAACAGTCCGGTTCCTATTCCACTGGCAAGTCAAAATGGACATTACAATAAGCATAAACCACCCACGCTTCCTTCCGTCTGGCCGAAGGACCCCTGATCAGCATTGATTGCTCCATCTTGATGGAGGATTGACTGTCAGCTTGCCGTGCCTCACTCTTTCCTCTCAGATCAGCCAACCAGATTTGTCAGATCGATCACTGTCACCTAGAAAGAGTTCCCCCACTGTTCAAGCTAGCGTTTGTACTCCCACTTAATTGTCCTGTCCATGGTCCACGATACCCTCTGTTCCATCTTACCTTTCCCCCTTTAAAAAAAAAAAAAAAGGATCACTAAGAACCTTAAAACCTGGATCCTCATCCAGACACCCTTATCCGAGATAGTGCAACTCTTCGTCTTCCCGGCTGCGCTGGGTGTACACTTTCATTGCTGGGATCTTGCCTATTGACCTTGAAGTGTTATGTAGCCGTCTTTCCATTGTACTTTGGCTCCTTCTCCTCTTCCCCCCTTTGTTATGAGGTCTTTGCTTCTGCCGGGAACCTCTGATCTCGTTTGATTCAAATGCCGCCCTTCTGGCAGTATCCGCTGTGTCGGGGTCCCTGTCTCGGGGTTTTGGCAGCCTTCCCTTGGGAGTAGTTCACTTAACGCTTAGCCACCTTAGCCCTTCCCTGCCACAGTCTGATGGTTCTCTTACTGCTCCTCTCTTGCTCCCCCTCTTCCTCCGGCAACCAACCCTTCCGCCTTTGACGTCTGCAAAAGATTTCATTCTGCCGGAAGGACTTCATTTCTGATCTCACCTTTTCTCAGGGATTGTCTCATCTACGCTGCTTCTAGCATCTCTGTCCTTCGGGGTACCCCATACTGTCACCTATCAGATGTCCCTGGGTCCGCTTAGCTCAATTGTCTCTCTGTTATTGCCACCCTCTGGTAGCGTCCACCCATTTCTGAGTTGTGCCAGTCCTTCCACTGTAACCTGTCGTCCCGGAGATCCGCCACCTTACCTTCCACCAACCACAATCCGGTAAACCTCTTTCTGAGTTTGTCTTGTAGGTCTTCATCTTCTGGCATCGAGTGCTTTTGCTTCTGCCATTTGCACCGGATCTCAGCCTGCAGCAGGGTTTTTGTTTCCGCCCACACCTTCTCCCGCGGGTGGGAGAGGCCTTCGAGGGTTCTGACGCATCTTTCCTTCCAGATGATCCATAATGTCACTTTCCTTATCAATCCGAACCACAGCCTTTCTATCATTTTGAGATGGCACGGGATGTTAGTCCAGAGGAGAAGTTGGATGGGGTGATCAGGGAAGGGAGCTTGAAAAAAGGAGTCGCACAAAGTCGATGCCCGTGCCCAGTATTCCTTCGCTTCACTACACTGGATTAGGCAGTGTACTAAGTCTTCCTGGCTCCCCTCCGTGCATACTGTACATAAGTCCGAACTGCTTGGGTCATTCTTTTGGCGTCTTGTGTGTAACCATTGGTTCACTGGTAGCGCAGCATACGCGATGAGCCATTGAAGGCTTCTAATTTTAATCGGTCTTATGGTCTTGAATTTCTTCCATGGAATCTGGGAGAGTTTGTCTGCCTCCTGCCCTAACAGCTTCTGCCATCTCCTACTTTTTTTTTTTTTTTTTTTTTTTTTTGTATAAAACAGAACCTTATGGTTCCGGCTCCTTATCCATTCTGGGGAGCGTCAGTCCGGTTCCTATTCCACCGGCAAGTCAGAAAGAAATACAATGGGTACTCACACACGCTCCTCCCCCTTATGGTAGGAAGGCCCAAGGGACGRCATTGATTACTTCTCGCTGGAAGGATGTACCACCCCTTACCCCTGCCTAAGCTAGCCTGATGTACCTGCTTCYGTCTTCGGTTGCTAGAAGGAAAATGGAGCCTGTATCTGACCCACATGGCCCCTGTACAGCTTGTTCCTCTCAGTTCCTTGACTGTCGAATTCACATGGTATGCTAGAACTGCTGGTTGGCCTTCTGAACAGGTTTTTACTAACGCCCTAACTTCCTTCTTCTTGAATGCTACAGTATTTGGTTAAACCCTGAACCCTAGGGGGGCCAAATTGTAATTGAGAACGTGGAGCCTAAGGGAGGTAGTGTCAGTCCGAAGTTATCTAGCTGGATCCAATTGACATTCCTGTGAGATGACTCCTGCTATGGGGCAGTTCTATTGATTGCGGTGGGGTTAGTCTATTGTATCTCCAATGACCGAAGCAAATCGTGTTTTGGTAGACTGTCGCTATTTTCCCCTCCCCCAGTTGTTTTTTACTGAATGCCTCCACTATCTTATCCCTATCTGCAATGTTCTTTTCTATTCTCTTACAGACTCTCTTCCAGCGCCCTCTGTACTCGTCCTCTATTATGTGAAGGACGCCTTCCCATGCCTCCAGCACGGGCATTGGTGTTCAGTCTATCGTCTCTTGACATCGTCTTTTCCATATGGTCCATATTGTCGCGAGTCTAAGAATGTGAAAGAATGGGGTTTCGTGGTCATGCCACGAGGGCGGGATGTGCAGCCCTAGAAGGAGGGTGGTTTGATCAGTTGGTAGGGTCCTGTTAGTAATTGTTTTCCACAGTTCAGCTGCGTTTCTCCAGATTTGTACGGCTTTTTGACAAAGTAATAGGCAATGGTTCACGTCTTCTACGAGACCCTCCGGGCAAATTGCACACAGTTCCTGTAGCAGGGATCTGAGTTGTGTGTTCCTTCTCTTATTTAGCCACTTGTTAACCGGCAGAGCTAGGTGGGCGAGTAGCCACTGGAAACTTCTTATTTTGACTGGGTTAATGGTTAGGATGCCTGTCCAAGGAATGCTTGGAGTTTGATTGTGTGGGAGATTAAATTGTGCCTCCCATCTTTGGCCTATAATTTGGGTTACGGGATATGATCTCATCCATAGGGTGTAGACTAGCTTAGTGGTATATTCCAGGATATTCATGCGCTTTTCTAGATTAAACGTCCCTGTTCTTTGTTTCCATGCCCATTCCGCCGGGTCGAGTTCCAGATCTTCTATGTTGGTTTGTGGGTTGTAAACTCTGCGCTCTTGTGTTTCCACTACTCTCACCTTTCTCAGTTTTTTATCGCACCAAGCTACCTCTCCTTCAGGGTTCTTATTTAGCAGGCTTGTTGTTGCTCCTGGGTCCACGATGTTGTAGATGTCGCAGATGAGCCAGTTGTTTCTGGGTCCCTCTTTGGTTCGGAAACGGTATGCCCTCGTAGGAGGACTGTCTGTTGTCTCTGTTGCCCAATCTCCGGCTGTCCAACTGTGGTTACTTCTGAGGAGCTTGCACCAGTTTTCCGGTATTGAGATCAGTATGTTGTTTAGGTTCTCTTGTAGGTTGTGACAGCCTTTTAATTGCTCTCTCAATTCTTCTGGCGTTTTCCATTGATCTGTGTTGTGCCAGAGGTGCTTAATCTGCCACACTCCTTTCTCCACCCATGAACCCCATCTTGAATCTTTGGCTGTTAGCGTCCAAGGTTTTCCTTGCGGATCCACCAGCCATTGATTGCAGAAGAGGGGTTGTCTGAGTACTTCCTCTTTGGTTGTCGGCTCTCTCACTTTTGCTGGCAGTATTTCTCTCCATGTTTTTAACAAATGTTTCCAGAAATCGTTGCTTTCGGCTTCTTCATTTTCCATATCAGTTGCCTTGGTTGTGCCTTTCATTGCCCATGACTTGGCCATGATCCAGAACAGGCCCTTCATGTTGTCTGGTGTTTTGAATTTTGCCAGCTTTTGTATTCTTCGCAGGGCTAATTGAGTCCATGGATTCTGCGTATTTAATTCGAGTATCCATTTAGTCTGTAGGGCCTTGATCTGCGTTTCTGGGTCGAGAATTCCTAAGCCTCTCTTAGATTTCTTAAGAATCACATACTTCCAGGCTACCTTCAATATGAAGTGCTCCTTGGATGGGTTCCCCAACCATAGGTACGCTGCTGCTCGCCTCCTTAGTTGTGATTTGAGTTGTCTGGGGGGGCTCCAGATTGTTGCGGCAAACCAGAGCATA